AAAGTTCATCAAGATCATGCCTAACAAATCACAGCCTATCAGAGATTCAACCAAAAAGAACTAGGAGTTTGTAGCGATACAGTAGGAAATTACTTTCTGAGCATGTACGCACATTCGCAAATGAACGCAATCACATAATTAGCAAATATAACGATAGGTGTAGTAAAGTCCACACTACCACAGCTATCATCCGTTATCCCATCAACCATCGGATCGGGCGCCGAGAGACTCCACTAGTACCAACTCCACTACTACCAATTGTTAAAAGGGTTGATCAGTGAGCTCAGATTATTCGACAAAGAGAAAGAAAAGTTTCACATTTTGGCATGATGAGCCTCTTCTTAGCCGTGGTACCCACGATAACTCGCCGTGCTTAACTGTGGTTAACTTCTGGAGAGACCTATAGCAGTGGTTAGAGGTATTTTGAAATACATACCTGGTTCCTGGTTTGATACCGCGCTGCAGTCTCACCAAACGCCAGTCTTTTATTACCCCATTGGTCATTGAGTGACCCGAGCGGGCGCCAGTAAATGTTTGAATTTTCCCTGTCGCGTGCTAGAGTGGCCCAATGAGTTCTGCTCGCTCTAGCGACTCGTGAAGTGTCACACCTTTTTCCAGGCCTTTCGTGAAGAACTCAGGCCATCGCGTCGGTGGTCTTCTTGCAGTACGTTTGACCTCTCGAGGAAACAAGTTACTAACGGCTCTTGTCCGTCGATTTTCGGTCATACGCATTGCATTTCCAGCTCACCTTATTTTCGACTGTTTGGAGAACGGAACGGCATCTTTGATCAAACGCAGTTCGGAGCTTCGGATACCTACGGTTACTCGTATGACACGAGGTGCTATTAGCATCGTCGTTCATCACGTTGATTTACCGACCTAGATAGATGCAAATGGGGCATTCAGAGATATTCGTTCCGTTGAGCTTGGATGGGGCATACGAGACCAAGCCGTTTCTCATGAACATCGTTTTAGTGAGATTTAGCCTTCGGAGTAATTTCTCCACAAGCATTGTCAAAGTCGGTAAGCATTTGTTCCGCTTGGCTAGTGATTGGCGTTATAAAATCGATGTCATCAGCAAAGCGAAGATGGTGTAATTTCCGATCATCGATTCTTTTCCCTATAGGGGTAATTCCACAGAGACGCGTATGGCGCAGTGGTTGGAGGCGCATTGAAACATAAACGTGGAATTGATCCCCGCGCCCATGGCCCACCAAACCCAAGCCCTCCATTGCTCCGTGGTCGGAAAATTGGTACCAGACTTGCCTAGGAAGATAGTAGCACTAGCTCGACACATCGGTAGGCCACCGCGAGTCATTGTAAAAGCCAGATATGGGTTCAATCACCTCCAAACGATGCTTAATGCAGTGGAATGCATGGTACATCCGTCAGGGATTCATTCCAATCTTCGCCTGACGTTCTCGAGCGTGGCGGTACATAATTTCGGCTAGATGGCATCGCCTTGGCTAACCCTTCTTTTGACTTCGATGTTAACATCGTTGTAGAATGGTGATATCTCGGTTGTGAAATTTTTTTTACAACTCACGAAGAATCTTTATATACTGGGTAGGGACTCCCTGAAGGTCCAAGGTTTCCATGACTGCTTCTGTCTCAGTTGAGTCAAAAGTCTTCTTCAAATCGATGAAAGTGAGACAGAGCGGTCTTTTGTACTCTTGTGATACTTCAATGAGTTATGTTATTGTGTGGATGTGGTCCATTGTACTAAATCCTTTTCGAAACCTTGATTCCCCACATGGCTGCCCTTCGTCCAGCGTTCTGTCGATTCTGTTTAGGACGACTCGAATGAAAAGTTTGTAGAGGACAGACAGCAAGCACGATGGTTGCCGATATCGTGTAGTTCACTCCTCTTGAACAATAACATGGTCTTACTGGTTTTCCATTTAGTAAGAACATTGCATTCAGACAGGCAACGTGTGAAGAGCCGAGCCAGTGTGTTTACGAGGACTGGCGGAAGCTTCTTCAAGTGTTCTGATTTTATCCTTTCCGGTCTTGGTGCTGTTCGATTTTTCACCGACGAAATAGCATGTCGGATTTCGGAAGGGAGAACCGGTGGTACGACGAATCCATCCTCCTTTATTTTATATGAAGGAAGGACGACGTGGCTATCAAAGAGATCCGAGTAGTATTCGTGAATGATTTTCCGAATTGCCTTTCTGGACGCTGTAGCTGTTCCGTCTGGCCGCCGGAGAGTAATCATTTAGGTCTTGTAATTAGCGAAGCTTCGGTGGGCTTTGCGAATGCTTTTCCCAGCCTCTGCAGCTTCGACCATAACTTCTGCTCTTCTCTTTTTACGATCTTTTATTGCCTGTCTGCATCGTTTTGCAAGTTCGGACGTTAGATCGCGGTTGCCCGCAGCTCGTGCGATTCCACGCTGGCGTATCATCTCGAGTGTTTCTGGAGACAGACGTCTCTTGGTGACTTTCGAACTCTCAGCTTCAATATCGCTAACGTGAAGATGTTGAATGAGCCGTTTCATGTAGGACGGCCTTGTCTGGGAGGCTGGCAGTACTGGTTCGCTACATCGGTAGCCTACCTCGAGTCATTGTAAAGGCCAGATATGCATTGAGTCCCCTCTTATGATGCTTAATAAAGTCAAATTCATGGCGCATCGATCAGGGAGTGGTTAACACCTGGAGCTATGTCCTTTATCGTTTTATGGTTGTCCTTACTGGGGAGAGAGATGAAACCTTGGAGTATAACGCAATTTGATATTGAGGAACAAGTTACAACAAACGGTAAGGTGTTAAAGCATTGTGGTAGGGATGTACAGTAAATGACAAAAGTGAGCAGTTTCATTTCTGGTCTGTTCTCAAAGCGATTACGATAACTATTCAAGATAGCCGAAAAGAAAGACACGCAGGACACAGGACATGATGAACACGTTAGTCCCCGGAAAGAGTAATAGGAAAGTTTGATCCCCACCGCAGACACATGTGGTCCAGAGTTTTGCAAATTTCTCAGCAACATTGTAGTCCCTAAAATAATTTCTTTTTCAGAAGCTCAAATCTATGGACATCATGCAACTCCCTTAGAGAAGCCTCATCGCATTCGCAGGATTCCACATCACACGCAGCGTCGAGATTCCGAACGATCGCAAAGACGCTGAAACGAAGTTGTCACGATGACACGCACCAGAACACCAACAGCTTAGCATTACCGGATACGGAAAAAAATTAAATTCTACTATAGTGTCGACATTACGGCGTGTTCCGTAACTTCGTTGCGTACTAAGCCGCGTGTGGTCACGTCGCGGCGTGGAGTTTCTGGGACATGGGGATTCATTTTTGGAATACGGTTCCCAAATTGTCCACGTGTTCACTCCAGTAGTTGGAGGCTGTGACCTTATCAGTGATGTTTATTTAATTGATTTACTTGTATTATTACATATTATAAGCTAAAGGCGCGTGTAGCGCAATGGTCGGAGGCGCCGTACAACATACACGTGGAATCGATCCCCGGGTAGCAGCGCTGGTTCGACACAGCGATAGGCCACCGCGAGTCATTATATGGCCCAGATATGCATTCAGTCACTTCCAACGATACTTAATGAAGTCAAATGCATGGCGCTTCGTTCATATATTGATCAACGCCAAGAGCTTTATCCTTTTATTTATTATTTATCACAAGTTATGCCGTTACTCATGTGTTTATTTACCTCTTCATCTGCCCGGAATGCTATCAGGTCCATCCATGTAGGACAGGCGTTAGTTGTGCAAGTACTTTCACTTGTAGGTTTCTATTCCTGTCGTTCTTTTTATTTGTTGTGTACATTTGGATGAATATTCTATTAAAATGTGAATTTGCAAGCTCACAATAGTGTGGCAAAGGCGGGTGGTCTAGTGTGGCGCTCGAATCGCACAGTCGGTTGAAAACCAAACTATCCACTATTTCCTTTCCTAACGTCACATGAATACTTGGATGCACGACCTTAGTAATTCTGCGGGCCTCAGCGCATTCTCCATTTTTCGGAGTTTTTGTGGTTTAACCGTTGCGGTCCCCTGGAGTCCCGAGGTCAGCGTAGCCTAAGTCTGCCTCAGGTCGTCACCGCTGCAGGCAGCAGCCGTCCTTGTGGACCAGAGGGAGATTTACCACCATGAGATTAGATCGATACTAGGACTATGGTTGATCCTGGCGTTGGTTCACTCTAAATGGTGCTTTCTGATGAAAGCGCCTGGCTCCTCACTTTGGGAGGCTCTGCTGGAGATGAATCCTTCCTCTGTACGTCCAGCTCGACAGGAACACCTCCCAGGCACGATGATGCGGTAAAGAGGTTTCCGAGGTTTTCCTAACATTAGGGCATAGTATAACTGACATTGCGATCTGCAGTAGGGTTTTTTCCAGTAATACTTGCGTGCGCCATCGTTTTCAGTGTGCAGTAGGTCCCGTACCATCTATGCAGTTTTATACTTGTGTGATTAAAACGTCAGTGAAAAAGATAGAAGTGCACCCATAGACGGCAGTGAAATGGAAGTGCTGTGCAAGGAAAGTCTCAATAGGGTGGCATTCATAGACAGTATACCACTAGATGAATAGTGACGTAGGGACTTGACTCATTGAGCAAAAGCCATTTCCAGGATTGCAGGTTATTTCATTTCCGGAATGCATTTCTGTATATTTCACTACTCATTTAGCACTTGTAGGTGTCAACACCTCAAGAGAGCTTTATCTGCTGTGTTGATTCATTTTTATTGGTTTTTTAATGTTGAACAAAGTTGAATTCATCGACTGATGAAGTGCAGAGGATTGTGTTTTCATCTGGCCTTTAGCACTGGTCATACTACCGACCTTGCGTTGTTTCTTTTTTCGACTTTTCTTTGGTACCAAAACTCCGGGTGTAGCGCAGTGGTCGGAGATGCCCTGCAGTACACACGGGATCGATTCCTGCGGGGTCAGCAAACTGGTACCGGACTTGTTTGGGAAGATAACAGCACTGGCTAGATATTAAATCACCTCTAACGGTGATTAATGAAGTACAATGCATGGCGCATCCCTCAAGAGTTGGTCAAAGCTAAGAGCTTTATGGTTTTATTATTTTTCCCAAAAACCAGCCGTTTTCCAGGGGACAAGTCACATTTCTGGAGTTGAGGTCTCGTCTGGAAGGAGTTCAGGCTCCACTGTTTTTAGTCACAACTTTTACAGTGGCGTGGAGAAAGCGTGCTCTAATGCCACTGCTTCCTCGCCGCGTAAACAATCCGCGCGCCGCGTCCAAGGTTTATCGATTCCAGGATTTTCATTCGTGTTCTGCTGTTTACTGGAATGGTTGTAGATTCTCTGTCTCGTTTTCCTCATATGTGAATCTTTGCAGAAAATGGGTGATTCATCATCTTCAACCGGAGAAAAAAGAGCGCACGATACGTCACTGGAAGGTGTGGAGAATCTTCCAGTTGAGCACGACTCTAAAGCAGCCACAGGAGAACGTTCAGAATATGTTGTTGTTGCTGATAGTAGTGGTATGACTTTTTCACTGATTTTACTTAATTCCAAGGCACTGTGAATCCGAAGTTATGCACTTCGCGGTCCTTGTTGTAGTGTTTACGCTTTTTTCTCCAAACATTCTACCACTGCTTTCATAGGAGAGGCAATGGAACTGCCAACGGCTCCCGACAATACTTTGTTTATGACTACACTACAGTCTTCATATCCTGGTGCAACAGGCATGAAGTTCAAAAACCCAAAGACAGGCGCTCTTCGGGCTGTCGCGTAAGTGGTTTAAAGGATGATGCGTTTATCGGTGTACTTTAAAACCATAGCGTTTCTTTAAAATGTGATTAGAGGTGCACTATTCATTTATTATATTAAGGGTCGATGCATCAGGTACAAAGCTTCTTCCACCATCTGACGGTTGGGACGACAAAGTTTTTACCGTCATCACATCGAATGCTCGAAGTGAACGAGGTACGATGAGCGTTTGGCCCTAGTAGATGTCACTTTTGCGCAGTATGCTATGCGTAGTGCTAGTACCGGTCGTATTGAGTATTGTACAGAAAGCAAAAGCATGGTGGGATGCAAGAGGAGTGAAGTATTTAGCAAAAAATTTGAAGAAGTTAATTTAAGAATTAAGAAGTGATAAAAACAATGTAGGTTAGAGAGAGTTGTCTAGTAGGTGACAAAATAATAGGCTAGGGCTCGGAGAATAACTGTTCTAAAATTATCTAAAAAATTTTGAAAAACAAAATTTCAACTGTCTCCGTTTGTGTTTTTCGTATGTCACATTGAGTAGTTTTTTTATAGCTTGTTTTTGATAGCTTAGGTCTTGGATGAATAACTTTTGAGCTTGATAAAATTTTGGGGATGTCATAAGGAAACGTTAAGGTATTCGAAAAGAGACGATTTCTGCGTAGATCCCCTCTTCGGACGAGACGCATGTTTTGCTTTTCCATATGTCATCTGTTGAGAACGAATTTTTTTCTTTTTGCTCGGCCTGAGAAATTTACTCTTTCTTGCTGGGTTGTGACTAAATATCTGACTGCATTGTGTGATGGATGCTGTAGTTCCTTCTTCGGAAAATGTTGTCTCTCATCATTTTCTTGTCCATCCATATACGTCTGGCTTCTCCGCTTTTCCATGTGAGTTTCGCTCTGGAATATCAATCTGTGCCTCACACTATCGTTCCTTGGATGTTGCATTTTCGTAATGTAAATACTCATGTGAGCGGCACTTATAGCACAGTGGTGGGAGGCGCCCTGCAGTATACATGGGATCTGTCTTCGCACCCCAGACCCAGCAAGCCCTACTTCCCTCCGGGGTCAGAAAATCGGTAGCACTCTTGTCTGGGAGGATAGCACCATTGGCAGGAAACATCGATAGGTCACCGCGAGTGTAATGACCAGATATGTATTCGGTCACCTCCAATGAGGCTTATTGAAATCGAATGCATGCCGCATACCTCGGCGATAGATCAAGGCCGAGAGCTTTATTTTTTTAATAGATATATAGTGTCTCTATGTTTTCAACTCCGAAATTATTGTTTGTTCCTTAGTATTTCTATTAGTCCTTACTCATCGTACAACACTCGTCACATCCTCTTTCTTGTCTCTTGTGAGTACCACAGTTTGGTGCAATCTCCACTTATATTATCCCAATTATTGGTTTCGTTATGTAACCAACCTCAGATTGCTTATTTGAAGTGCACGTTATGGAAAAACTAAAAACGGGGAAGTGCATGCACAAGAGCATCAGCAACAAAGCCAATTTTAAAACGATCGCAGGATGAAAACAGCGTGAATACATTACGAAAAATTCTCCCAAACCTTTGGGGCATACGTTTCACAATCCAAATCAAAACAACGTGATAGAGAGCGGAGCAAGTGTTGCGAGTAGTTCTATTTTTGTTTCATTCAAAGCTGACCAGAATAAATGATAATTCGTAATTACCAGGATAAGTCACCTGAGCAACAAGCCATGACATTAAGACTTCAGATTTAATTATTGTGATGCAGAAAATTAAGTAGGCAGTAAATTGTCCATAACCGGTTACTCACGCCGTTTCATATGCAGATAGGGAAAAGGCTTTTGCGCGTGAGAGATGTTACAACTGTGCTCATTTGTTTTTCGTGGTCAGTTACACTTTCAAAGCTGTTTTCATTGCATTTTAGTGTGTTATACGAAAGGCGTGCGTGAGGTGTGAGCAAGGTGTGTCTAGGTTCGGATGTGAGTGTGAAGCGGCGGAAGATTGGAACGAGTGATGGAGAGTCGGACAGTGATGGTGAAGGACGCGTTGGTCGTAAACGTGCCGTTGATTCTCGTGAGAAGACGGCGATTAGTGGAGATTCCTCCTCAACGATGCCACGCCGACCAATTGATCTCATCGTGCTGGGTGTGAATTACAAGACAACAGACGAAGGATTCAGACAGTACTTTGAGGCATTTGGTACCGTCGCATTTGCCGAGGTGAGTGTGTACCATGAATGTGAGTTCCATGTGTGAGTGTGTTTCGTACTTTGTTTTAGTATTTACGTTTTATTTGCTTCCGTTGTTTTTTCTCTTTTTTTTCTCGGAGGAGAATTTGCCAATCTCAGTCGAAATCGATTTGTATACTACGGGAATGGTAAGTGCGCGTATTTCGACTATTTAGGCCAATTACTCCTTGGTTTATGTGGCCTACTGGTAGTAAAACTCAAATTTTCGTTAGATATTCGGAAGTCGGATTGCTGGAAGTTAGTCATAACGAGGACTCCTCACATCAGAACTTAGACCGATCCAGAATTCTGTTCTGACAGAGCACGGGGTTAAGAGCAGAGTACTGAGCATAGGAAACCTGCAACTCGATAAAATTAGTATGTGCAGGGCACTATTTGCTTGATATTATGTGAGGCTAGTGTCGCTTTGACTTCATAATGCCACTTATCGATGTGAGAGGAAACGATTTAATGGTTACTTGATGAAAATTTGATTTTGGAAGAGGTTTTTTGATAGTAATTAGGCAGGTTCGTGTGCTCTTGAGTTTGGGTGGAAATTGTATAGGAACTAATGGTGGATTGTTGGAATTTTGTTTGTGTTGTGAATAGATCGAAGTTACACGTTCGTCAGCCTATACTTGCTTATTTTATGCATTTTCTTTCGTTTAGATCAAGAGAACAGCTGAAGGTTCGTCGAAAGGATTTGGTTTTGTGCAAATGAGTACTATTGAAGAACAGGACAAAGTGCTAGCAACACCCAAGCATATGCTTGATGGCAGACGTTGTGAAATTCGAATACCTGAACAACGAGTGGGTGTTTCTACGAGAATCAAACAGTATCAAAGTTTGTAGTAATGAGTGTCTGGGCATGGCATATTTGTTGAAGTAGTACCAGTACAATTTATTTTAATACAGAGGTTCATGCTACTACATTTCAATGTCACAGTGTTTTTAATGAGCTGTTTGACAAATTCAGAAACAGGTTAAGAGCGTTATTTTGAGAGTGCGTGCCAAGAACTTTTGTGCCCGGAACTACTACTTTGTAGCTGTATCTTTGTACGGAAATCTTTTCAGCACGACACTCAAGGTATGGGCCCAGGTGGAAGTCGTGCTCTGGCGACATCGAAAGCATTAGTCAATAAGATTTTTGTCGGCCGTCTTTCGGAAAAAATAGAGGAGGACACGCTACGTGCGTTCTTCGACAAGGAAGCGAAGCAAATCGTGGAATCAGCGTCGGTGAGGATTTTTCTCGATAGCGAAGCTAGCGTATTTTCGTTGTTCGGAAAAAATAGTTGAATTAGCGCTGAGGATCTTTTCTTCTAATTGCGAAATTTCGAACTTAATTTACTAAATGATTTTTTTCGGATATTCATCTAGGTAACCGATGTGTTCATTCCTCGCCCTTTCCGAGGTTTCGCTTTCATAACATTCACGCATACAGAGGTCGCTGATCGGCTTGTCAAGTGAGGTCCTATTCGGTTTTGCTTATATGAGGAGGCTTTCTTAATCTTTGGAAATATGTCAGATTTCTTCCTAGCGTGCTATGTTGAAAATTATATTGAAGTAGATTAAGTAATTGTTACTTGTGGGTGTCGTAGATTTGGTGTAGATGACATCTTCAGCACTATAATCAGCACTAATTGAGAGTTTACGTCACATAAATATTCACGAATTGCTTTTTTAAGTCATTTTCGCTACCAGTCAAGAAATCTCTAAGTAAATAACAGCTGGCTATGTTTTAATGCTCGACGATAAGAAAAATCCCGTCTTCCGCTAAAGTATGGAGTGTAAACTGGTAGTCATTAACGTCTGCGAAATTTCCTATACTTGTTTTTATTCAGAGCGAACAATTTCGTAATAGATGGGTCTTCCGTATGTGTTACTCTGGCTGTTCCTCGTGAAGATGTTCACCATGGAAACAACTTCTACAACGATTTCGGATTTCCTTACGGTTATGCCAAAGGCGGTGCCGGTTTTGGAGGAGTGGGCACAGTGCCTTATCCAACAAGGGTTCGTTAAAACTTTTCTTAGGAACATTTTTAAAATTTCGGGTATGTCAAGCATTATTATTATCATTGTTGTATGAGAAAAACCAGGATGAACTATGACTTAATAAACTAGTGTTGTGGAATATACCAATATTCCACTTCGCATTAATTTCCCTTATTCATCCGACAATTTTCCCATTCTCGTACTTCACAGCTGTTTTAACTGCGCTGTCTTCGTTGCTTTTTTTTTTCCTCGAAAAGTCGGTGAAATTTGTGTTTGTGGTGATACACTTTGAGAATTTATGAAGGCTTTTACTTCTACTAGGTTTCTTATCTTTTATAAAAAAGAGGTCTAATTGCCTTGCTGTGGTGGTGTATGTAGAGATAAAAATGTAGTTGAAATCATTAGTTGTTAGAGTTGGTATCTCCACTGACTGCTCACCTTGAGTGAATATTCCGCGCCGGGGTTTTCGTGCGGTGTCACAGAAACCGATTTCAAGCGTGTTTTTAAGCGTTTGTATAAAAAAACAGCAGTACAGTATAAACGGTGTGGCGATATTCAGAAGCGTGAGGGTGGCAAGAGTCAGTACTAAGAAGGAGCGAGAACTGGTAGGGAGCACTGTAGAAAACTGTGGAAGGAGCTACGGAAAGAACTCGAACTAAGAGCTGATGGAACAGCTTATATTCGTCCTAGGATAGATGTGGTTTAACTGGGGTAGTTTAAGAGGTAGTTTAAAGAGATACTTTGAAGCGATGGTTTGAGAAGCAGGTGGCAAAACTTTTTCTTAAGGAGTGCCATCTGATGCTGTTGAGTTAACGCACAGTACAGTAACATCGAATGCCTGCGTCGGAAAAAGTGGTTTATGGGAAGCTCTAAGAAAGTTTTATAGAGGGTTTTGCTTTTTCCAGGTGATTGAGCAGTGCGAGTCAAATACGTGTTTGATGAAGAGTAGTCGGTAGAGAAATAATGTGGAGGTAGAGAATACTCGATACCTGTTGAGAATGCTCTCTGTGTTCTGTTCTCTGTGTAAT